AGTGTGTTTCTAAAATAATTTCCTAGAAGCTTGTGTACACATATTGCTGACAGTACTAATAAACGTATAAAGCTAACTGCGAGGAGACCGACAAGACGTAGGTTTGTGTATTGATAGTTTTTTACCACTGTTGATTACATGAATAATCTTGAGTTTCTTTGCGTTGGTACATACATGAATCGCAGAAAGAATACGCCACAATTTATTAATAAGAACCTAGAGGTGAATCTGATTCAATGGTAAATGATAAAGACGTAATGGCAGGACCCTAAAAAGTTTTACTCTTATCAAACTGCACTCGCCATCTTTATCACAGGTTGAAAGAAAACTAAAAACAGGCAAAAAATGCACTTTTGATTTCCCTGAAGTTATAGTATTTCCACAATAAATATATAGAAGGTTTCGTTATTAGAAGTATTAGAAGTAAAATAAATTTTGGTTTCGTTATTAAAAATCTTATAAAAATTACTTATAAAAGCCTGACTTATGTCCTTTCTCGTTGAAAACAACATTTTATCACAAAATCACTTCGACTTTTTATCTAATAAATATACCAGTGATGCTATGTTTTCTGTACTACATGAGGTTTACCAAGCACTAAACAATAATATTTACACTGTCCATGGACGTATAAACACAGATGGACTCAGTTATTTACATAAAATTGTGAAGTCAAAATTATTTGAATCTGTCACATTCCCAGCACCTCCAACTGTTGTCACGTTTTTTTATTAAAAATTCTTATTCGCGAGTCGCTGAAAATATTACTCCGTATTTTATACTCTACAGGTGCTATCAAACCAAAATAATAATTTATTGGTTATATTAATATATCTAATTGTAATCAAAATATCAAGTGTGCACATAGTGTGCATTATCATTTAATAATAGCGTATAATAGATATCAATAAATTATTTTATATTTAGAAGCACTGAAAACTATTTATAAATGGCAACGGTTGTTTACATTTCTCTGTTTTACGGTTCTACGTCAAACTTCAAATGCTATTCCATGTTTGTTTACAACGATTGAGGAAATAAGGAAAAATTGTTTTTAGATAATTTTGGCTGTATTTTGAGTGATATTTGTGAAAAGTGAAATAAAATAAACGAAATATTTACATCCCGGTCTTTCATTTCATTTGTAAGTACATAAAATTTACATTATTTAGGATGAGGAAATGAAAAAGCGTGTTTGTTTACATTTTAATAGGCGTACCATTGGGTTTATTCATGTTCATTAATGTATTCAATAAGATATAATAAAATTGTATTTTAATTTTTCTATAAAGACGTGATTTGTTAATAGTTAAATTCTCGTTTTTTTTTTAATTCTTTGAACGTGTTTTTATACATTATTACTAGGTACTTCCAATTTTTAAAATCTGAATAATTACCCGCGAGTAAAAATTCAAGCACGCTTATACTCATTGCGGAAGCATCACATTCTATCGAAGCTTCAAAACATTGTGTGTTAAAGGTATCTTATTGCTGTGTCCATCTATGTTTATACGTCCATGACACTGTCACTGTTACTTGTGACAATGTAATGTTTTTGCTTTTGATTGAGTAAATCATGATGATTTGATAAAAAAACTAAATTTCTACGGAATTCGAGGTATTTCTTTGAATTGGTTCCAAATTACTTGGTGAATAGGAAACAACTAGTTAGAGCAAATGGTAGGGTAAAGTGTGCAAATCGCGGTCACCTAAGAAGAAAATTTAATATAAAAAAAAGTAAAACTCTGTGAATCAAATTTAAGCCGTCAATCCGTAATTTGGGGTTTTAACTTATTGCTAGATACATTTAATTTCAAAAATATAAAATTTTTGTCTTTGACAGAGACAAAACATAAAAAAGTATCTTTGACCGGTATTGTCACCATACATGGACAATACCGGTCATGAGTGTGGGTAATGCCAGTCAATTTGTTTGTGTTATTATTAAAATAAAAATCAATATCTATTTAACATTTTTTTGTTATAAAACGATTACCGAATGTGGCTTAATGGGTCATAATTTCAAGTAAATCAGTAAAAAGGTGAAAAAAATATTTTTTATTACAAAACAAACAAAAAATAACAAAAATATTTGTTTTAATGTAAAAATAGTTGACAGTCATCGCAGGTATAACTCTCTGCAGAATCCCATCCACTGCACTCTAAATAAGCCCATCGTGAGCAAACGGTAAATATATACCACAATTCATTGTTTTTGCCAAACTCGCTGTAAACCAGGCATCTATCTTCGTATGCATCGTCACTATTATCACATGATATATCAAATATCCTAATTTTCTCTTAGTACTAGTAATTAAACTAATTTTCTAAGTTCTATTGCTGTTTACGCCATAAAAAATTAAGCTAAATATTTTTTTTGTGTGGCTATTTTAGCTTCTTGTTCGGCAGAAAATACTGATTTTCTACCTAATGAGACACCTTGAAGATTTTTATTTTTTATTCTTTCTTGCAATGTCGAAAAATGGATGGATTAATCCTAAGGATTAATAGTATAGGGTATAAATTATAGCATGGGGGTAATACCGGTCAACTGACCGGCATTGCCTCCTGTTGGCATTTTTTTTCTTAGAATTTTTTACTCGTAAACATGTATTAAAATATTGATCTTTAAAAAAGGAATAGGCAGCTAACGTCATTATAATCAATTGTAACCAATTTTAAGATCTACAAGTGAATAAAAATGAATTAAGACCTTATATTACTCAGCATAAAAATAAGATCGAAAACACTGAAAACAGGTTAATAATATTTCTATGACAATGGTTTGCGCCAACTCAACGCTCGTCAGCAATCTGAATACAGAGTAGTGTAGCGACACGTTGGCAGTTATAGGAGGTTGCCAGATTGAATAGATTTTCGCACAAACGGGATGACCGCCATTACCCATGACCGGTATTTGCACATTTTACCCTACTGGACTCTTAGTCACAAAAGCATTGTATGTGGAGTACCACAAGGTTCAGTATTGGGTCCTCTGCTTTTCCCTATCTTTATAAATGACTAAAAATCAATAATTTAACAAACGATGGAAGTTTTTTTCTTTTTGCTGATGATACCAGTATCGCTCTAATTTTGCAACTTTTCATGCAACTATAAATTCTGATCTACTTAAAATAAAAACTTGGTCCGACTCTACTTTACTCTCTTTTAACGTGGATAAGACAATACCTAACATAATCCTATAAAGGAGCTCTTCAACCTTTGCTTCTTACTAACAGTCAGATCAGTAAGTATCGTTGATTCTGTAAAATTTCTTAATATTTTTATAGACAGCAACTTTAAATGCAACGGATTGTTTATTTTATTATCTTTTATTTTGTCATATTGCCGAGTTATATAATTTTAGTAATTTTAGTATGTTATTTTTTTTATTTTTATGTTATTTTATGTTATTTTCTGAATATTTCTATTCTATTCTATTCCATAATATTGTTATTAATTGGATGATATTTAGGTATGACATCTAAATTTTGGCAATCATTACGAATCGAATCTTTTATTGACATATATTTTTTACTTTTCATTTAATGTCTGTATATTGTTAGTTTTTTTTTCACGCAATTTTTAATTTAAACCTGCATATAATACAAACGAATTGAGAGGATCAAATCTATATGAAGAACCGCTATTTTGTGACGCTACCCGTGACGCCTTTTCGTGGCGCTAGTTCCGTGACTCGCTGCTGCATTTTACTATAGAGAAAAAGTAGAAGCTTCGTTTCAAAAATTAATTGGTGAAAATCAATTTCACTACTTAGCTAGTGAAAAACCACATTAAAATCTTCGGTATTTAATACAAATAATGCTTAATATCATAGATCGTTCTTAGAAAAATTACCGATTTTTTCTTTGATACTATTGCGACGTTATAACAAAAGTGTAGCCTCTTTTGCATCACAGAATAAAATAAAATAAATAAATGTAGGTTTAAAAACAAAATAAGAAATTTATTTTTACATAATTTAATTTAAGCTATTCCGTACCTAATTGCAAGATAAAATAAGTAATATATGAATAAATGCCATCCGTCTTAAATAGTTTAAGACGTTAGAGAATATCTTCAACATGAATAGACATCATGAAGAATGAAGACTTATAATTCGATAGTAGTAAATACAAGCATGTTGTTATATGTGTTGCCTACCGTCGGTTAGAAATATGTAAACTCTCTTACATACCTCTTGACCTAAAGCTCAAATCATTTTCTGTAATATTAACTTTCACTCTAGATTTCTGTTTGTAGCATCGTGAATTTTCACTATTTGCCGGTAGATGTCGCTGCGCGCTTTATAATTTGATTAAAAAATTAAATTTTAGACATCGTCACTGGATTTAGATAAACAGAATAATAATATAATATAATACATATAATAATAGTATGTTACACACAAATAAATTTGTTTTTAACCGAAATGATTAAATTTTAAAATCAAAATGTAACATCCAGAATAAAATTATACAAACGTAGACAATACAAATCGTATAAAAATTTATAGGTATTATACCTAGAGATAGATATCTTTTTATTGCCACAATATAGTGTTAGTATATTTAAGTGAAAGAAATCTCATCTTGTCTTTATTTTATAGTTGTTGTTTAGGTATAAGTAAAAAAAATATAGAGCATTCTTTTCTTAAAAAAGTCAGACGAAGAAATCAACGAAGTCGAAGAAAAATATCGCTTTCAGTAATTGAGTTAGAGGCTAGTGATGTTATGTGATTGTATACAACTAATTATTTAAAAATATCAATAAGTTTTTCAGTTATTTTTAAATATAAAAATTCTGCATATTTATTTATGCATTGACTCTTGTTCTTTCTTAATCGTAAAAAAACTGTAAAAGCCTAATTTTGTCACCACATCCCAAAAGGGATTAGGACTGGGAGTAGGAGGAGGATTATTCTTGTAGCAATATATTCGTGCAATTAAAACAGAATCTATAAATTTATGTTTAAAAAATATTTAATTTTTATCACTTACCTTCTAAAACATACACTATGCTACCGACATCTCCCTCCTGAATAATGATATCATTAGTCTTATATTCTTCTGGGTACATACAGTCCACGATCTCTCTGATTTGAGTGAGCTCCAAATTCTTCATAAAATCATTATCCAAAATTGCCGACTTGATAAGTTCCCGGGAACTGAAAAGAAAAGTTAATATTATTATAAATCGTTTAAAATGTTTTGTGGGATTCAAGTTAATATAGTTTGAATTTATGGGTTTCCGGCGCCATGTAATGTATTTATTGAAGCGGTTCTTACGTTTAATAGTGATACAAAATTCCAAGCCTCGTTTATTTTATGTTCCATAATATTTTTAGTTTTAAAATGAAGCAGAATTTACGATATATATTTTATATGATTTGTTTTTAAAATATCTTTGGAGATAAAACCGTGAATAAAAGAATATAATATCTGCAATGGCTTTATAAAGTTTTCCATCGTATAATATTCAGTTTGAGAAAACGGTCTTGTTATACTTATTCCAAACTTAAAAGATCTATCTATACAGTGTGTCAATTTTAAAACTTACAATGGGCTATACCTCACGAAAAAGCTGAATCGAAAAATACTTAAACCGTTTCTAGGATAGTAAGGGGGAACTAAAATGCATGAAAGAGAACTCACCCCAATCAACCCCCTAAGGCCCACCCTTAATAACCAAAAAAGTTTAAATTGCAAATCCCTACTTGTTATCCAATGCTATCCAATGGTATAAATAATAATTATACAGGGTGAAGCAATAATGAGGTTTTTCTTGATTCTGTTGATGGACCCTGTATAATTTTCTTCTTCTTCTTCACGTGCCATCTTCGCTACGAAAGTTGGCTATCATCATAGCAATTTTGACCCTGGAGGCTGCCGCTCGGAACAATTGTATGGAAGTGCAAGCAAACCACTCCCTGAGGTTTCTCAACCATGACATTCTTCTCCTACCTATGCTGCGCCTACCTTCAATCTTTCCTTGCATAATTAGTTGTAACAGTTGATATTAATTCCCACGTGTAATATGTCCCAGGTATTGTAGTTTCCTCATTTTAACACTCAATACGTCCTCCTTTTGTTTGTTCATCCTGTCTAATACAACTTGGTTAGTTATCTTATCCTTCCAGGAGATTTTTAACATTCTTCGGTACGCCCACATCTCAAATGCCTCCAGCTTACCCATACATTGCTTATTTAGTGTCCACGCCTCCACCCCATATAACAGGACCGAGAAAACATAACATTTAAGCATTCGTATTTTCAGCTTTAGGCTTAGGTTTCGGCTACACAACATTTGTTTCATGTTGTTAAAGGCACTGCGGGCTTTCTCTATTCTTATTCTTATTTCTCTGGTGTATTCGTTTGACTCGTTAATATTTGTTCCGAGGTAATTGTAATTTTGTACTCGTTCAATGAGATTCTGTCCTACATGTAAGTTGATATTATTGATAAATTTTCTTTGTAATTATCATGAATTTGGTCTTCTTTGTATTCAGTGACAGACCAAATTCTTCACTTGCTTCTACCACTTTGTTTAGTAATCTCTGTAGGTCGTCAATATTTTCTGCTATGAGCGCGGTATCATCAGCATATCGGATATTGCAAATGGGGTGACTGTTGATCTTTACTCGGCTTTTCGTCATAGGTTTTTTAATAACTTCCGCGAACATTGAACAAGGTTGGAGACAACACACAGCCCTGCCGAACACCTCTTTTGATCTGTATTCTATCTGATATCGAGCTGTTAATTCGTACTGTAGCTTCTTGTTTTGTAGTATAGATTCCTTATCACTCGCATGTCCCTTGTATCAATATTTTTATTTTCCAGTATTTGCATCAGTGGCCTATGTTTTACTGTATCAAATGCTTTGTTATAGTCTAGGAAACACACAAATATGTCCTGATTTACGTCTAAGCATCGTTGTGTTAGAACATTAAAAGCAAACAGGGCCTCTCTAGTTCCTAGTCCGTCTCTAAAGCCAAATTGAGAGGGTCCGATGTCAACTTCCAATTTTTTATATATTTTCCGATGAATGATTTTTAAGAAGACCTTTAATATATGACACATGAGACTGATGGTGCGATGTTCCGAGCATTGTCTCGCATTAGACTTTTTGGGTATGGCTATTATTGTTGTTACTAGCCATTCATTAGGTATGATACCAGATTTGTAAATGCTGTTAAATAGTTCCACGATCTTTATTAAGTTGTTGCCTTTGATGAGTTTAATTATGTCTATTGGTAGTTCATCTGGGCCTGTAGCCTTCCCGACCTCATTTCTTTAATTAATTTATTTCTTTTATAATTGCTTAACTATTATACAGGTTCATCAACAGAATCAAGAAAAAACCCAATTAAATTTTCCATTTAATCCAAAGTTTGTCAATTATTGCTTAACAATTGTACAGGGTGTTAATATCAGACGGCTTTCTATGGCTTTTTTATTTGTAATGCACCCCTTGGACTATTATTTTTTAATAATAAGCGCCGTTCGGAATTTTGTTTGTTAAATAAAAACTTAATTTCCGTTTTTGCAAAACCAAGTTTAAAGAAACGGGATTAGTGCTAAATAAAAAAGGATACCCAAGATTACTGAATGAAGCATCTCAAATTGAGATTCTAGGAAATTTTGCCATAGAGCCAACTGCATCAACATGTCAGGTATCTGCAATGATAGGACTTTTACATGAGTAGGTTAGAAAGGTGTTGAAATTACGTAAGTTTCACCCGTACAAAACATAAATCCTTTAAGAACTAGGCGATGATGAAGAACTCAGAACTCATGACTGAAAGAATTTGCAATGAACCGAGAATGTTAAAAAATATTTGTTTCACTGATAAATGTACTTTTATGCTGAATGGTAATGTAAATAAACAAAACTGTTGGTACTGGAGTAATGCGAACCCACATTGATTCAGAGAAGATGAAAAACTGAATGCTTGAGCAGGAATATTGGGCGATTTCAACCTATAAGTCAATCATATTTTGTTCTTAGATGAAGCTGGAGCAAATGGCGGAAATGAGAAACAAATGGCAGCTTCTTTGGTGGTGTCGCTTCGAGGCCAGGCAGTTATCCTCTTACAATTTCTTTCCTAGAATGTACCCAGTTATACCTCTCTCGTTGCAGCTTTAGAGGCAAGATATGTCCAGCAGCATCTAAAGCAGTTGTTTTGCAAAGTTAGCTGAGAATTCGATATCAAAGACATAACGAAAGATTACAATGATTTTATTGCGGAAAAATGAAATATTTTAAAAACAATTGCAAAAGCTGGTCTCAAAGAGGCAAAGAAGATCCAAAGAATGAGGTCAGAAGGTCGCCTAGATCGACATCCAGAATCCCGTCATATACGGGGAGAAGAAGACGGGGCTTAATTAAAATCTATATATCTTTCGAATGGTCTTTTATATCAGAAGTAAGAAAGTAATGATGGAGTATGTACAGTTCAACAAGTGTTACTACCAAAATCTTCAAAGAAACTGGGAAGCCCCGTACACCGTCCTGCACAAAATAAACGATCTAATCCACCGCATCCTAGTCCAGGCTGTGAGGCCGCTCCGTTGGGAAAATGTTTCTGATTCGGTTTCTTCGCGGATTCCGGTTCAAAAATGTCCCTTTAAACAAAATCTGAAGGGTGCCGGGCGAAAATTTTTGGGCAGAAACTGTTTAAAACAATTTTTTTAAACAAATTCCAAAAATATTTTTTTTAATCTGGAAAATGTTTTTTTGGGTTTTTTGGGTCATTTTAAACAAAAAAGGTCTCTTGTCATTTTTCTCTAAAGTTGATAGTATTTCGAGTTATAAGCGATTTAAAGTCTGAAAAACGCGAAAATACGCATTTTTGAGGCTTGAAAACACATATGTAAATTATTATTTTTGAGGTTACCAAGTGTCTAAATTAAAGTTTAAACATTCAACTTCAAGATTGTGAAGAGTTAATCGGGGCTTATTTTAATTTAGACCGTTGTTTTTTAATTGTTAAATATGCGCGTACACTCGATTTTTCAGCCGCCGCGGCGCGGCGCGCTAGAGTGCGCTTCTATCGTACTTATGCATAGTTTACATATACACTTACGCAAAAAAAACCCGAACAAATCCTTGAAGTTTATTAACATAGTTTTTTCCATAATTTATTTATGTAGGTATTAATTATTGTCATTGGGCTAATTAAATAAATCAATCACCGCAATGTAATAACCGTATATAGTTTTTTTTTCTTCCAAATTTGAACAATATAATTATTATTTATTGAGTATATATTTATTTATATCAATTGTAAATAATATTTTTAAAGTATTATTTAAATAATACAATGCAATAAATATTAATATTAGTAAACTTAATTTTAAATTGCGCGGTGTTTAAAAACAATATACTATCGCAAAAATGCAAGTTTTTACCTGTTTAACAATCGCTCGCTCATACTTGATTTGTTATTACTTAAACGATCATTAGGAAGACTATTGTTTAATGCCCATTAAAAGGGTATTATATTATTAATGTGTTATTAAAAAACTTGTGAATGGATTTAAAATGTCTTTTTTCGTACCTCTTCTTAAATGAAAACTTACCGAAGAAAATTTAGTTTGTATTTTTTGTAATAACATCAACAATATTAAGTTAGTGCAAAAACCTAAAGTAGATTTTTACATAACAATACAAAATGCTGCTCTTCGACGAAAAGACAGTGTGACTGAAATTTAATTTAATCTAGCCAATATACCTTGTACCTCTGACGCACTTTACCAACACTTGTTAAGAGTTTTCGCTAAAACATATATTTGGCGAAATGCCATATATTCTGGCTATCAAACTCTCGATTTTACACAATATGGATATTATATGTCTGATAGTGGTGGGTTGGGAAACCGTGCAAATGCAAAAAGACATGCAAAACTAATGCTTGCAACTGCAAGAAAAATCATGTCAACTGTGTACCATTATGTGGATGTGATTTAGATTTTTGTGAAAACAAAGATACTTTTACTGAGTGATATTAGTGTGTTATTTAACAATCTTTTGTACAATTATTTTATGTAACTATTATTAGACTTTAGACGAAATTTATATTATAACTTTAGAGAAAAAAGACAAGAGACTTTTTTTGTTTAAAATGGCCCAAAAAACCTAAAAAAAAACGTTTTCCAGATTAAAAA